AATATTGCGCTCTACAATATTTCTATGAATAAATCTCTGACAGAGACTATCAGCCAATCACTGTGTGCATAGTTAGTAAGTATGCTGACATCATCCATAGCAACGAGGTCAACCCCGCCCCCTTACTCTTAACTTAAAACTTATCTCTATTCCTTAGTAAAAGTTTGTCTCAGCAGCTTTGTGAATAGGTTTTAAGAGAAAACTTTTAGCTAAAAACCTTTACTGCTATTTAGTGCTTTTAGTGGTAAGATAAAATGTTTTGTGAATACGGGCCCAGGAACAGAACTAACACAACTAAAAGTCCATGACCGTAACAACATGGCTTTTAAAATCTGAACAGATCTGAAAAAAATTAGGCATCATACACGACTAAGGATCACACATTACCAGACTTTCAAATCGTTCTGAACACAACAAACTCATAGAAATATGCTCTTTATTGCTAGGAGACGCAGCTCAGAATATCAAACTTGTTTGATATCTTCTGACTGATGGAATCATAAAGAATCAAAACTCTGTGCCTATCATACACTACATGATTTTCTGTGAAATCTGTGAAATCTGACTGCCCAAAATCTGCAGACTATCTATGAGTTCTGGCAACAAGCTTTGACTCATCCAGATTGTAAATTGGGGCAAAATTGTGTAATGTATCCCTGCCTTTAAAGTGGCATTTTAATATCACCACATCACAAACAAAATCACATAAAAATGAGCAAATACAGAAGAGGTTTATTTTGGTTTTAGGTAGGAAACAACTGAATGAGATTATTAGGCAAATTTATGATATTTAACTGTAACAGCTATTGTGTAATTATATTCACATTTTGACAGCTTCTGTTGCACTAGAATAATTTCATATCAGGGTCTTATTTATTTGTTTTATTTATGACTATATTTTTATAACACATTAGTCATATTTAATTCACTCATCTCCATGCATGAGCAATTCTCAGGCAGCACTGTATTAATAGTGAGTGATATTGTTACAATCTGCCAATCTTTTTTCAATCATGTTTACAGTATTTTTAGATGTCAGTGGTGTAACATATACATATAGCAAAATTATTTGCTGTTTCATGCAATTGTAAATATTCATTTGAAAATTGAAAATATTTATTTGACATTAAGTCCTAATTCTCAGAGAATGGCTGATAATAGTTTTAAATAGTATAGATAATAGTAGATAATTAAATACGTTTTTTTTGGGCTGTTATAGAGGTGAAATGTATTATATACAAACCTAAAGATGCTTATGATGTTGCCCTCTTCTGGACCAACCTATCTTTTTTTTTTTTAATAATGCTACCTGTTTTACTATAAAAATTATTTGGGTGGCCTGGTCTCAGGTTTAAACTCTAGTTCATTCTTGTGTCATCAAGTATGTGAATTGAACTCCCACACATAGCTCATTCTGAGAGCACGAATAACTGTGATCAGTTTGACCAGTAGCCTTTATCTGACAGTGTTAATTTTTGTCAGTGGTTTTTGCATATAATGACATGCAATGGACAAGTCTTGAAACTGTGCAAAACTATTTCTGAGGCTCTGCTCATGCACATGCAAAGAATAAAGCAGCCCTGAATGAACAAAACCTATATATCAAATTGTTTAACTACTTGGACCAGATGATAATGTACTGTACTATACTAATACAATGCAACTACAGTAACGGAGGTGGTAATCAGAAGGTAACTGGCTCGATTACAACAGATATTGTGTCATTGAGCAAGGCACTTAACCCTGAAGTTGCTCTAGTCTAGGTGATGGTCCCTAATGTGCAATTTAAGTTGCATTGGCTAAAATTGCCTGCTAAATTGCTGCAGCACAGGCAGCCATCTAGGGCAACATTTAGAAAACGACTACTTGCTTTCTTACTAAAAGCAGTAACATTCCATCTTGGGTGAAATGGGGGGAGTGATTTGCACAGGACATGGCGTGATACAATTGTAGGATTTACTACCTATTACCTCTGAGTCAGAAGGGTAGATTTCTGATCACGACGTTTCTTAACTGATTAGTAATTGTTATGGCTCTATTTCACAGTTTTAAAGGGTCATCCTTTTTATCTCATGCATTTTTTAAATATGTGAGGGCATTATGCATTGTGCATGACATCAGTTTACGTCAGTTTCTGTTCTGAATTTGTAAAAGATCTCACAAATTCCTTCCTAAAATCCAGAAATATCTGATATTTAATTACCTCAGCATGTGGTGCCAATGCAACACAAGCCATGATTTCAGTGTATTCATTGAGTCTGTGGGGTTTTTGTTGAAGTATGAGAATAAGAACTAATCAGCTATTAACGTATTAAAATAAAGAAAACAAAACCGCAATTACCTTAACAGTCTTCATAATTTCAAAATCTATTGCATTTTTCAGAGCACAAATGAAATAATATTCACAAGTAATACACATTTTAAATAGCTTTGAGCAAAATGTTGTAGCACAAATGCTAATATCCAAATGGACATTTAACCAGATATCAAGGCTGGCTGAAATTTCAGGTGATTTACTGTGATGTTAAAAGACTCAAGTGCAAGTTGAAGATGGTGGAGAAAGCCCTCATTCATACATACATATCAAAATATAAAGACTAAGATGGCATGATAAGGAAAACATTATAATTTGGTGAGATGAATTTAAACAACCACTGTGTGTCAAAATAATATTATATACTGTATATACTAAATGTGATGGTTTTGTTTTTAAAAATGTAGTAATTGTGACAGATGCTGCATGCTCTGGGAAAGGTTTGTAATAAAACAGCCTTCACATAATCTCATGCTTTCATGTACTGACATCCATCAGTCAATCTAAAAATACACCAAAAGCAAATTTAATCTGAATGAGATTTGTCAAGCCTGTCTAGTTGTGTCATTGTGTCTAGAACAAGCCAGACATCTTGCTATTTGTCTGTCTAAACGAGCTAACACAGAGGTGACTTCTGTTGTATTGCATCATCCTTATAGGATACTGTTGCCTGATGGGTATTTTGCTTTGAACTACAACAAAAAGAGTATTTTGCATATATCATTAAATCCAGTCAGTGAAGAGCCAAATGCATTGTTGCTCAGTTATTTTTGATGTGTTAAATCCTCATTATGTTGCTATTTGATCTTGTGTGATGTTTGTGCATATGTGTGCCGTATGTGAGACATAAACATCGATCTGGATTTTCACAGTTTTGCGAGAATTAATTTCTCAATTTAATTTCCCAGTTTCAGTGGGGGGTATTTGCAGCATTGAGTGTGTTGTGATTTCTGTAGTTGTGAAGCCATTATCGATCTCAAATGAAATGATAAATGTGATGCTCATTTATGAGGTGATACAAAAAAATGTCAAGCTTGTGCCTGTTTCCTCTGTGCCTGTCAATTCGATGTTATATATATCTTTCAAAGATGATAAATGAATTTTAAAATGGCATATTTTTTCTTATTAGTTCCTTTTTTATATCATTCATGATATATTTTGATGTGTGTCCTGTTGGTGATTTATCAGCAGTTCTTC